TCCTCTGCATTTATTTTTATTCCTTAGAACTGTTGCAGTCTTTATCACAACAGACTTGCACCCTCCACCAACGGCTTCTGCTAGTAATAGAAATATTTTCACTATAAAACTTTCTGCTTCGGGGCACTTGATAGGACACACATGCTAGTGCGATGCCAGATGCAGCCTTGTCCTGCTCAACCCTGTACTTTTACCATAAGAGCGCAGTCATACAATGTTGTAGGAGAAAAAGTGCAAAAATAAATTACTCCGAGCAAAGAGGCAAAGGCTTCGGAAAAATAAAAGTTCTAATGAATCGCGGCTACAGGAGCCCTGTCAACATGTGCACAACAAGAAACATTTCAGATCACACATCAATCGAGCAATTCTGTCCCCCAATGCATTCAAAAATCTGTTTATTTTACCAGAACAGAGGGTGCATGAGGAGAGCTCCAGGTTTTTTTAGACGGCAACAACGCTCTTGTTATTAAGAGACCAGTGCAGTACTCTTTAGTATAATCTATGAACTGTACACGTCAAATACCACAGTGAAATTCTGTCTACACGTCTCTTAAAATGGTGTACAAGGAAGTGGTGTGCACCAAGTCACTGCTAATTGAGTGGCCTCCATTGAGTACAGCTAAGGGGCTGCCCACACAAGACAAGGCTCGTGCATTTATAAATAGACTTAAGGTGGCTTGAGCACCCAGGGGTGAGCTGCTTACTTTCGAGTAGACTAGGAACAAGCGGAAAAATGGTGAGCACAAGAAAAGGGGGCCAAAGAGGCGAGTGCTGCAGACAACAAAGCACGCCCAAGGGTATTTGAGACAAAGCTTCCACTCTGAGACCTCCCAAGTTGTTGCGTTCTTTCGATTTCTAAAGGGGCATTTGTCATCCCAATGGGCATTAAAGAGGCGATGCCCTGACAAGCGGGCAAATGGCCTGCACCTTCTCGCGGGTGACACGTGTGCAGACGCAAATGGCCTAAACTGGTCTGCTTTCCAAAAAGCTTGACTTGGGCCACCCTACACTGTTGTTGATGTGTATTTGCTAGTAAAACAAAAATTTCTCATGCTTTATACTGTCGCCCGTTTCAGCGGCTATTTTTTACAGGTTTTAGCTACCCATTTGTGGAACTTTCCCATATCCCCGATATGCATTTGAGGCACGTAGCGAACTTTATTAAATGATAAAATCTAGATGGTTTTGTCCTTTAAAATTTTTTTGTGAGACAATGACCTGCAATGCGGGACTGTCCTGCAATTGACGTCTTGTGTACTTTAAATGTGAGTAGTATATTGAGCACAATTAAAAGGAAAAAACTGTTGAGCTCCTTTACTTTTTTATGGCAATATCTCAATCTATACTCTCTAAACATGCTAAACAAAACCAATATTAAAAGCATGCAAAACCTATTTACACATCAAATATTGCAACACACCCTTTTATCTGCCGAAAACATTCCCGTTCTGCTAAAAAAACAGCATGTAGCAAATTTTATTAAATGATAAAATCGAGACAGTTATGTCCTTTATAAATTTCTTGTAAGACAATGAATCGCAATGCGGGACTGTCCTGCAATTGACGTCTTGAGTACTTTAAATGTGAGTAGTATATTGACAACAATTAAGAAGGAAAAATGTTGAGCTCCTTCATTTTTTTTGTTTTTATGGCAAAATCTCAATCTACACTCTATAAACATGCTAAACAAAACCAATATTAAAAGCATGCACAACCTATTGACACATCAAAGATTGCAACAAGCCCTTTTATCAGCCAAAAACATTTCTTTTCTGCTAAAACAAAAAAGAAAAAGAGCATGTCAGAATCGTTGATCACGTTTTTAATGTGGACAATAAGCCATGCACCATTTTAATTTTAGAGTTTTTTAGGAGACATAGTGCACATATCAAGTTACTGCAATAAAGAGATGAACTTAAAAAGTCTACATATTTTTTTAGATAATTTTAAATAAGGTACATGTGCTTTTACACCACCTTCCATGATCCTCACATTTACCTAGAACAGAGCTGTTCAAACTGAGGTGTGAAAATGCACAGGGCACTTAAGTGCATGATTGGGGTCTCTATTTACTCAATCAAATAAATTGCCTTGCATACAAATTTAGAGCTGTTGTTTTTTGCATTCAGGGGCTGACAGGTAAAAGGTGTTTTAACACCACAGTGCAATCTGCATTCCCCCTAACTAGGATGCTTCACTTTCATAATGTCTTTTATTCAATGCAAACATACAGGCTGCCATCATGGAACAAGAAATCGCTGATAATTCATCATCAAGTATACTGTGACCAGTGGTTTCTAAAATTCTGTAATGAAGTTTTGACAAAACTGTTTAATCTATATATTTTGTTCTAGATACTGACACTGGTTTTCTTTCTTGCAAAATTTACCTGTACTAATTATTTCCTAATTCCTACAAAATTTCCACCAGGAGCTCTAGTATCAATAAATAAATAAATAAAGTTGTAGCTCATCGCAATATGCTTTCTGCAAACACCAGAAAATAGTGAAAGTTAGTAACCAGTGCTTTTTAAACAGTGCATCTCTGACTCTCCAGGGAGTGTCAGGACAGTCTAAAAAGAACACCGATTGCAGAGCTAGCTTTAGCCGATTTTTGGCACCCGAATTATATGAAGATGGCACACATTTCAGGGAATCCTTGGGCCTAATCAGAGCAAGGCACTACTGCACAGAGCTAAAAAAATATGGAGCCAGCAAGAAACAAAGTTCCTTATAGAATGAAAGCAATTTTAATGCAAAAGCATTAAATGTCCCATGCAGCGGAGCCGGCGTTGTCCGTAACCGTGCAAAATGGCAGAGAAATTCTTCCCGCGCCATGACCAGCTCTTAAAATGGCTGCGACACGGCCCGCACACTGGATGGTTTAAAGGAATGCCACCCCACAGAGCGGCTTTGCTCCCGCGCACCGCCGCAGCAGCGTACACCCAACGCTCCCCAGAAGCCAGCCAGCCGACGTCCGCAGAGGCTACACGGCCAGCCTCTGCAGAGGGTAGCGGGGCATGCAGCTTATAGGAATATGTTATGTATATGAATGCTTACACCTAAGCAGTCTTAAGTATCCTGTAATTTGCTTCATATCCTCTAATTTTTAGTGTGCCACCCGGGTCCACATACCGGAAGCACAGCTATCCGTCTTCCTACTTGTTGAAAACACTGGCATATCATGTAGAGATGGCAAGTTCTCTAAGTAATTTAGTCGCTGAAGCTCACCGGCAACTCTAATCGCTCTTGACAACTCTAAGTACTGTTAAACTAGAACTGAATCATGGCCACGCCACCGCAATCATACTCCAAGCTGCCGGCGTACTGCATGCATGCTGTACTTCTTATTCAACACCCGACATCGCAGCCCCGGATGCTCAAAATGGTGAATGTGCCAAGTAACAAAATGGCGATGTTCAGAAAATCTAGGGAGCGAGAAATGCCGAGTTTGGGCTCTAAAATCAGCAGAAAAAATCGACACCCGCACGTAACAAGCTCAATTTTTCTCAGACGTGTGTTTTAGCGGTGTATTTTACCTCATAAAATTTCAAAACCTTTCTGTGAAAAATAAGACAGCAAGACCTGCCAGAGTCAACAGCAGATGTCGATGCAGATGACCAAGCTTGCTACGATTGTAAATTGTGTCGTCATCCACTCCTATACTTCGTTTCAGCTTCCGTCCGAGCGCAGCCAAAGCTACGTGCGGCCGGAGCCAATCACACGCCGGAAAAATAGGTCAAGCGATCTCGCCTGCACTTTTGTATCACTCCGCTGCGCCACTGGTCGCCCGCGCTCACTGAGCATTTCGTCTGCTATGGGTGTATCAACGGTATCGTCTGCTACACGTTTAAAAAGTGCCCTTTTACGTTCTGAAATTTAGTCACAGGGAATGTCAGTACGTAGGCTCGCTGGCGTCTGTGTCTGAGCTTTCCGCCTCTTCGGCATTTCGGCATAGTTGCGAGATGTAAGTACATATTGCAAGTTGCCCTATAACCCGGTCTTTGATGTGCCCTTGTAATGTCTGGATACACCAGGGTTCGAAGCGCAGTCCTTTCCACCAACTTCTCGTCATTCAATCTGATCGGCAGGTAAAAGGGTGCCCTGAGTTTGCCGCGTGTCAGTGAATTGTAGTGTCCTGGAAGCTTTCCTTGTTTACAACGCATTCGCAGTACGACGCGGCCGGAGTCTTCTGACAAATTTGAAAGTAGACATTCATCACGACCTCTCGCGCCTGACGCCCAAACGTGCCTTAGCGAAAGGATGTTTTGAAGCGACTCGGTGAGGGAAGCAGCGAAGCACATGATTCGGCCATTACGGGAACGAAATCACAAAGAAAAATCGAGCGCTGCAGCCGTGTTGCCAGCGGATGTACGTGTTTTCACCAAACCATATGCATTTACATATATTAATAAAAACATAAACTTTGGATATTTAATTCCTTTAGTTGAAAATCATTCTCAGCCGTACACGTCTGGAATATTGTGCAATGTTTATGCACAATACAGCTATTTTTTTAATTACTTTTGCGGACTACTTTCTGATGCATAGGAATGCTCTTCTCGAAGTTGCGAACAGTCCCTCAGCCTTTGGCTGCGCTCGGACGGAAGCTGAAACGAAGTATAGGCACAGCAACCAGACAGTAAAGCGCGTCACTGCGACAGAAAAGTTAGCAGACGACAGAGTATGTCGTCTGCTCGCGGTACCTAAATTGAGATGGTGCCATTAGTTCCAACAATTGCCAACTTGGTTGTCTGAGTCAACATCCACCATTAACTCTGGCAAGTTTGCTGGTCTTACCTGTCACAGAAAGGATATATAATGAAGTAAAATGCAGCACTAAAATACACCTTTGACGAAAATTTTTAATTGCTATGTGCAGGCACCAATTCTTGCAGCAAATTTTTGATCCAGCCTCGAGATTTTCGAAACCTTATATATATTTTGTTGCAAATATTAAGATCGACAGCGGAAGAATGGAGTGGGGGTGGCTGCACTCACGTATGGGGTGGCAACAGTGGGTAGCGTCACGTGCTGCGGCTGGGGCGACAGGATGATGTGGCGCAGGGTCCCATTCTCGTCCACTATCTGCTGCACCACGTGGCCCGGGGGGACTTGCACGGGCACCGCCATGGGCGGCGTCGTGCTGTTGGACACCATCCGGACAGTAGCAGGACCTGGGATGCCGCCAAGAAAGGGGCTCGAGCAAAGCGACCTTGCCAAGACATTTAGAAGCCTCGGCTATTGTGCGGCGTCGGCTAGTCGTACAGAGGCTAGCCGCATTGGCTAAATTGCCCGTCCTAATCCAATGGGATCATACGTTTAGCAGCGTGAAGAATAAGCGCACCAGTTAAATTGCCCCTCTACGGCGGAGACACAAGCCATCGTAATCCAAAGCAGGCAGACTTCCCTCCGAGTAAAAGTCTATACAACTTGACCGACACTGACTTTGGCTGAAACATGTCTGCAAAACTGCAGCTCACCATGTTAGTAGCAACATAACAGTGCCTAAGAATCTAGTAAAACCTCTCCATAGTAAGGAGCAACACAGCAAAGCTATAAATCTAGTGAAGCAAAGTGGAAGTTGGCTTTAATGTAAATCAACAAAACTGGCAGGGCTGTTTATTATTTTTTCAGATGGCAGTTGGCTTCAGACTCAAAAGTATACGCCACACTATGGATGCAATAGGTTAAGAACGCAGTAGAAGCTCCACCTCCAGCGCAAGCTTACTACCTCCATTAAAGGACACATGCAAAGAAAAAAAACTTTTTTTTAAACAGGCCACATGGAAAAAGATTATTATAAAACGAATCTACAACGAAGAAAAAAAAATTTAGACCTATATTTATGGCGCAAAACGAATTTGTAGCTGGACCCGTGGGAGCCACCGCTGGTCATGTGGTAGGCCTGTGCGCCGCCGCCACAAAGTTACACTGTTACCGCAAAGTTACACTGTTGCCGCAAAGTTACACTGTTGCCGCAAAGTTACACTGTTGCCGCAAAGTCACGCCGTCGCCGCATGCTGAGCATTGTGCGATGCCACTTCAACGCGTTTCTCCACGTCGCCATCACCTCCGCCGCACAAGTTCATCTGCTTCGGGGCGCCGCCGCCATCATCTGACCGGCGCACAGGTCTATTGTGTCTGCTTGCGCTTTTTCAGGAGTTTCCTTTGGGCTCTAAAAGTTACTTATTAATCTTGGTTTTTTGTTATACTTCAAACAAAGATAAATAAGTTACTTTTAGAGGCCATAGGAAGCTTCCGAAAGAGCGCAAGCACCGCGTGACAAATAGCAACCAGTCACGTGACAAATAGAGACCACATTTCCGCGGCACCCGCGGGCGCTAACTACAAATTCGTATCGCGCCGTAAATATAGCTCTAAAAATTTTTCCTTTTCGTTGTAAATTTGTTTTATGACTTCCTTTTCCCAACCAGGATGTTAAAAAAAAATGAGTCTTTTTCCTTTGCATGTGTCCTTTAACACTCCGGTGTAAGTGCATAAGTGCAGCCAAAACATGCATTCTAAACTCTTTCCTGACCCTACCCAAAGCCCATCGATCATCGGTGATCAATGGTTTCATCGGGCCATCAAGAAATTAAATTTAGTGCGGAGAATTACGCTCCACAATCTTGTGGATAGCCAAAGAACTCTATCTCAACGTAGGTCTGAGCTTAAAAACTGCTTACGTGTAGGAAATTGAAAGCATTCAAGTCCCGCAGGAGAAACGTTTTCGAGTAATGTTTCTACACGTATTAAAGTTTAGGACGACGTCCTCGAGATCGATGCCAAGTATGGCGTCTAGGACGACCTTAAAGGCAACGCCTAGGACGACGTCAAGAATGGTGTCTACGATGACGTCAAGGATGACGTCCTGAAGGACAACAAGAACGACCTTAAGGATGACGTCTAGGACGACGTTCAGAACGACACCTATGCTTCATTTCACCTTATGATAGACCGCAGTGGACATTACGAGCCGTCGAAGCCAATCCAACACCGTGTTTGTGTCACATGACCTACAGGAGGGGTGCAGCGACAAATAGCGCTATAGACATGCAGTACGTTCGCAGCACTGAGTGCGTTGGAATGGCTTGCAGTGTCTACTGCGGTCCATCGTGAGTTGTTACAGAGAATAGAGGACGATATCTATGACGACGTCGAGAATGAATCATAGAGGAGGACACTTAAGGAGGCTGTGGCATAATTGCATGGGCGGCCACATTCGCCTGCGGAAGCCACCATAAATGTAGACGCTGCTGCCCACGCCGAGGCCGTAGATGTAGACGCGGTCACCTCACAGTCCATCGCACGAAGCACACAGCGAGCACAGATGAAGACCGAAGCACACCTTTTGCACACGGCACTATGATGGTGACATCACGCTCCCGCACTTGAGCGTGAGCAGCACGTGCTTGATGACATATTTTTATGGTCATCTTTCGGGCACAATGACGCCACTTTTTCGCTTAATGCAAAAGGTAAGGTTGTCCTAGAGGCCTAGGACGACCTCAAGGATGGCGCCAAGGACAGCGTTGTCCTTGATTGAGAGGCATGTGCCGCTCAATCATATTTTTATGGCCATATATGCCACTGTTTCGCTCAATGGGACAAGTAGGGTTGGCCTTAAAGGACACATGCAAAGGAAAAAAACATTTTTTTTAAACGGCTTAGATGGAAAAAGGACGCCATAAAACGATTTTACAACGAAGGAAAAAAATTTTTAGAGCTATATTTACGGCGCAAAACGAATTTGTAGTTGGCGCCCGCGGGCACCGCGGAAAAGTGGTTTGTATTTATCACGTGACTGGTCTTTATTTATCACGTGGTGCTTGCGCTCTTTCGGAAGCTTCCTATGGCCTCTAAAAGTAACTTATTCATCTTTGTTTGAAGTATAACAAAAAACCAAGACGAATAAGTAACTTTTAGAGCCCAAAGGAAACTCCTGAAAAAGCGCAAGCAGACGTGATAGACCTGTGCGCCGGTCAGATGACGGCGGCGGCGCCCCGAAGCAGACGAACTTGTGCGGCGGCGGCGACGGCGGCTTGGAGAAACGCGTTGAAGCGGCGTTCGCACAACGCTCAGCGTGCGGCGACGACGCAGCGCGGCGGCGCGCGGGCCTGCCACGTGACCAGCGGCGGCTCCCGCGAGCGCCAACTACAAATTCGTATAGCGCCGTAAATATAGCTCTAAAAATTTTGTTTCTTCGTTGTAAAATCGTTTTATGACACCCTTTTTCCATCTAAGCTGTCTAAAAAAATTTTTTTTTTTTCTTTGCATGTGTCCTTTAAGATAGTCTTTGGAACAGTGCTTGCACTTGTCCAACATGGCTAACTGCTTGCATCGGTCTTTGTAACAAAGATGGCATTATTTACATAATTCAACTGTACTGTGGCATATTCTTTAGGCCCCAAGCTCCGAGGACACTTTAAAAGATGTTATAGGCATATTGCTTCACATATGGTTGTCGGTAAGCACCTCTATTAATTTCCAATGATGTCCTGAACCAGCGTGCATGTTTTATGTTCCCAACAAGTCAAACAAAAATGCTAAATATGGAGAAACTGCAATGAAGGCTATAACAAAACCAATATAAGCATTCCTCTGTTAAAAAGCGCACGTGTTATGGAGGCTGCCTCTCCGACGAACCAAAACTAGACAACATCTGTTGGAGTACACTTAACTTTCATAAGTAATAGCTGTGGGTGTGAGGCATATTTTGTATATTCTGGATTTTCCTTTTATTTGTTGTTTTATTTGAAGAGCTGTAGAAGTGTTGGTGTTTATATGCCTTCCAGGCATACATTGTACTTCCAAAAAATAAAATTTTTAAATCTTTTTTGCGTGTCATACCATCATTAGTTTCTTTTGAAAGAACAATTAGCTACATTTTTATGTGTCATATTGCTCCATACACAAATTAGTTACGAAAATAAAAGGGTCTGCACGGGTCCTTTGAAAATTGCAACTTTTCCCGTCGTTAGAAAAGAGTTAACGCATCATCAAGTATCGGTGACAAGCATGACCAAAAGCATCACTATGACAGGTATTCTACAATTAGTCAAACGCTTGATACGTTTTTAGTCAGATTAATTTTACTTCCATCAACGGACATAACAGCAACATCAGGCTGTTAACTTTGACAGTGATACTTTAAGAATGTGACAACTCCGAGCTCTTGCCACGCTTTTCACATGCATCATCGAACTTGTCATTCACAAATACCAACAAGTAGCCAGGGATTGCAAGTGAAGTTCAGTCTACTTGAAGCTGGATTATGAAACTGGCACCAGCTCCAGCTAAGACCAGCTTCGTAATCAAGACAAAAGTGGAATGATTCTCACTCGGGCTTGTGACGTCAAGGACGGGCACAGGCGTGCATCACCGAAAGGTCTCGGCATTATAGTCTGTTGCAGGTTAAAAGAAGCGGGATGAGTATCTTATACAAAGACCTTCAACCTTTCCACTTTACTAAGGGTGAATGTTGGAGAGGAAGCGAGTAGAAAAAAGTAAACCACCAATCGTGGCGAACTAACAGCTTTGTGGGAAAAGCAGACAGCTTTGTGGGAGGAGCAGACAGCTTCGCGGGAGGAGCAGACAGCTTTGCGGGAGGAGCAGACAGCTTTGCGGGAGGAGCAGACAGCTTTGCGGGAGGAGCAGACAGCTTTGCGGGAGGAGCAGACAGCTTTGTGGAAGGAGCAGACAGCTTTGTGGGGGGAGCAGACAGCTTTGTGGGGGGAGCAGACAGCTTTGTAAGAGGTTCAGACAGCTTTGTGAGAGGAGCAGACAGCTTCGTGGGACGAGCAGACAGCTTTGCTGGAGGAGCAGACAGCTTTGCGGGAGGAGCAGACAACTTTGTGGGAGGAGCAGGCGACTTTATGGGAGGATCAGACAGCTTTGTGGGAAAGCAGATAGCTTTGTGAGGGGAGCAGATAGCTTTGTGGGAGGACCAGACAAATTTGTGAGGACAGCAGACAGCTTTGTGGGGGGAGCAGACAGCTTTGTGAGAGGAGACCAGAAAAAAGCACCAAACGTAACAATTCTTTGGTGCAGGGTCTTTGGCAACGTCGTCGGCTAAGGCCAAGGTGCACGAACTCACCCTGTATGAGCTGCATCTGGTCGCCCATCTGGAAGAAGATGGTCTCACCCGGGTTGATGTGCAAAAGCACCACGTGGGGCGGGACACCGGGCTGGTGGGGGGCAGCCGCTGCTGCCACATAGGGGGGCACCACCCCGGCTGCGGGGCCGTGCGGGGGGCCCCCGAAACTCTTGGGCTGCTGCTGCTGCAGAAGGCCCTTACAGCGGTGGCTACCCTTCTCTGCCCCAGAGAGACCATTCACCACGTGCCAGCCGCCGGGAGGTTCGCCCACCTACGGAGAGAGCAGCGGTGGAGCGAGTTGTCGAGCTTTGGGGGGGGGATAGGAAAAGACGGCAGCAGAATTCAGCAAATCGTGGGCGCCGACACTGATGGTCCCGGGAGAAAAAACGACAAAGGGAGTGACAGAAATGCAGAGAAAGAAAGCAGACGATAGGTTGGGCGCGTTTGTTTGGCCGCAGCAATTTGATGTGGTTCAAATGCATGGTGACTTTGTTCGTTTTTATGCTATGCGCGATGCTGGCGTTTCTGCATCAATTAAAGCCAGAAAAACACTTAGGCACAAACACTGCAAGTGATGTTTTCCCACTTCTTTATGTACACCAAAGTGTCGCCAGTACCATATTTACTCGCATAATGATTCAACACACCAGTATAATGAACGCACCCCCCACAACGGGTACCAATACTTGGACTTTTTCTTTTCCCTCGCGTAATCAACGCACCTTCAATTTTCGGCTCCGCGAGTCTCGAATTGCGTTTAATTTAGCTAGCTACCAATCCAATATTTTTTTTGCTGCCAAGTGGTAAGGCCAAGTCATGCCAAGCCACGCTGCTGTCGTAACGGCTTCAAGTGCGTAGGTGTGGAAGTGATCAACCGTGAAACCGATCAGCGCGCACACTTGACTAAGCTTGGGTCGAGGAATTGTCCAGCCCTAGACATTCTTCGCCTATCGGATGCATTGATGTCAAAAAACACGCAGTCGTCTGTGGTCCACTTTCAGACAGTGAAATCGTGAGTGGTTAGGCCTAATTTTACATACCCTGGGAAAATGCGTTTATGTAATCCGTAACAGAACAGTGCAGCGAAATGCACGCTGTGTTTTAGGTTGAGTGTGTCCGGTAGCCCCTGTTAACAGCCGTCTCCGTGAACGAAACTTGATCTGTCTGTGCGAGCGGGCTCGGCAGTCAACGGCTGGACGAGTTTTTATATGCGTAGTCCCCGTATATTCCAGAGAGCGCCGCTGGATACTAGCAATAAATATCAGCATGGTTACTGTGGCGCGCCCCCGACCAGCCGTGGGTGCGCCTCCATCAGTCCAGATGTGCCACAGTATCTTGCCGTGTCATTTGCACAAAGTGTGTAAATGCAGAAATGTTACCCCGCGTAACGAATGCCCCGCTCCCTATATATGTGTAAATTTTTTGGGAAAAAAAAGTGTGTTCATTATGCGAGTAAATATGGTAATATGGGTGGCATTAGGACCATCGATGTCTGTGTCCTGCGGCAGCCGAAATCCATGGGACCTTGCCCTGTGGGCTATTATATTAACCCTACGCACTTCATTCTGATTTGTCTACAACAGAGGTTCTTGAGCGTCTAAACCCGAGATCTCTCTCGACGGCTAGATGGGGAACCCGTTCCAGTCATGGCACTGATGTGACAGAGCAGCACAAAAGCCTACGGCCCCCTGTAAACAATGATAAACTTATCAAGGAGTGCTTGGCTCGTGAAGTTATACATAAATGGGTGGCTGAGATTTGCTAAAAAAACTGGTGCTTAAACTGGAAAAACACTTCACTTAGAGGCAGGAACGGTCGAGGAATTTCGACAACTCGGATAACCCACCAGGGTACTTTAGGGGACCTCTGGGTCTCTATTTGCGACTCCAATTCACCATAGGTGGCGCCACTCGTTTTCCAAAATGGCCAGTTTAGTGAGGGTCAGAGATGCGTGCCGCTGCTGAGCCTGTCTAGTTTGCTGGCTTCACTGAGCGACACAAATTATTTCTGGTAAAACTAGAGAGCTAGGGTGTTATAAGCGCAGGTCACCTCTTTATCCTGAAAACAAAAACGGTGTTTAGTGTAATATTTAGGCCAGGAAATATGTTTTAATTCCGAAGCGAAACCGAAAGTAATTTTTATTTTGGATCTAATTTCTCGGTATCAATCTTGATTTCAGAGTCTTTCATAACTCAAAATGTGTCTCACACTGTACTTTTTTAGTTAAAGAAGTTGTTCGTGGAAACCTTCATCCCTTTAAAGACAGGATCTTTCATACACCTTAGAGGTAACATAGAATGCTGCAGTTGTTGAAAAATTCAGTGCTGATATTTGTGAGTTCTTGCTGCCTTTTCTCGCTCACATAATTGTCATATGAAATGATGAACTGTGGGCCTATCAATGGCTTTTTTGGGGGGTATTCAGAAGATTATATTGCTTTAATATCTTTCCCAGCACCAAGAATAGCAGAATAAATCCAATTTATACAATATGTTCCCAAAACGTTTGAATTAAGAAATGCTGTTCTCTCTAGAAAAATTCAAAGACGGAATCGGAGTCCGGCAGCTGAAGTGTGCGAGCTTTTAAAGCAACGCGTGACGCATGTGAGTTTATATTGCATCCAGCGTTTGACTGTTTGTCTATCTTGATAACGATGTCAGAAGTCTTCATGTACTAAAAAGAAAACAAAATGACACCTTACACAAAAGACCGTTATGGTTAAATGGCGTATTTTTGTGATCGTAGCGTTAATTGGAGGCATACAATGCCGCGATTTGTATTAATAATAATATAAATATTAACATTAATATATTTTAATACCCAATTCTTAAGCTTAAAATAATTAGTTGCTTTTGATCTAATTTCAAACGCACAAACAAGTACGGCAATCTAAAGTGTGCTAATTATCATCACTGGTACCAATTGCAGCATTTTCAATTACCAAGGAATAAAATAAATAAAGTCTAAAATCAATGAACCACATCCTAGCTAATGTGAGAAATTCATGTAAAATTAGATTAATTGAGGATGCTATCAAAGTAACGACTTTTGACAATCGGCAAAACTTCCAAAGTCGCCGCGAATATCCTTCCAGACCAAATCACCCCCCCCCCCCCCCCCAAAAAAAATGATTATTTTTCTAATTAATTATTACCTTTTTCATAATTTTCTTTCGCATTTGCTCGCCGTCAATTTGCCATCCTCACCCTTTCCAGTTCGAAGGAACGCCTATCTGCTTGCGCGTCTGCTCACTGCAGCACATTTCGTTGATGTTGAAAAATGGCGAAACTGTAGTAAGTTTTAGTATTGCATATACGAGCGAACGCAAGCACTGTGTGTTTGCTTTAGCTTTGCATGTTTCCCGCTGCGCGTGCACGGAGCCCGAAATTGCGGTCTTGGACCGGAGCATGGCAACGATGCGCACGCGCAACGTGGAGCAGGCCATTCTAACACAAACGCACTGCGCTTGCGTTTGCTTCTATACGCAATACTCAAACTCTCTAATAAGGTACAATCCCATACCGGCTGCTGCACCACGTCAGGACAGTGAAGAGTGTTGTTTGCATTCGGAAACGGCATTTCACGAGCCATGATCGCAAGCAGTTCCGCCGTGCCCGCTGAGCAGGAGGATCGGCGGACCCTCACTAGAGCGCTTCCCGTTTCCGCCGCGGGAGGGCGAGCGACGAGTTGGACACGCGAATAGGAAGCCAGCTTGAGAGACTCTTTACTCTGTACATTGAGGCTCAAGCTAAAGCACAAAGACACCTTGAAGACAACTAGATGAAGATGTCTTCTAGGCATCTGGGTAAAAATGACTTCCAGATATCTAAGGAAAGGTGTCCCCTACATGTCTAGGAAGGACGCTTGGCAGGTGCCTACCCAGACGTCAACATCATATTCTAGCTGCGTTCAAACGTCTGCAAGGTGTCTTGAGCAGGGTGGCCACCTACCTCCCAGTGTGCACCAGGCTGGACTGGGGTGCCCCTGGGTGCCAGCAGGGGCTCGCAGCCCATGGGCAGGAGAGGATCCTGCGGGGGCCGCGCTCGGTGGTAGTGCTGCGGCTGCTGCGCCGGTGGTGGCTGTGGCTGACCGTTGAGAGAGGCAGTGTTGTCTGCATCGGGCTGGGCGCTCGCCATTGGAGGCGGCTGCTGCTCGCCCGGCGCTCTCGACCCTGGGCCTGCAAAGCACCCGATTGTCTTAGGCTGCGATCGCCAGATACAAAGAGCTAAGCCAGCATAACCCAATCTAATCCATGTTGTGCGTTGTGAACGTGCCCAACAGTCGGTTAGGGCAGGAATCCAATGCTTACATTAAAAGGACGGCAAGATGTGCAGACGACTGCAAGTATGGCCCACTAAGCACTGCCATTATGTTATAGGATTGAGACCTCCCAATACAAAGAGCTAAGCCACCCTAATCCAATCCATGTTTGTGTTGTGGAACAAAGCCAACTAATGGCTAGGGCAAGAATTGGATGTTTACAAGAGAAGGATGGCAAGATGTGCAGATGACTGAAAGTATGGTGCGCTGGGCACTGCCCTTATGTTACTGGATTGATATCGCCCGATACAAAGAGCTAAGCCACCATAATCCAATTCATGTTTGTGTTGTGGAACAAACCCAACTAATGGCTAGGGCAAGAATTGGATGCTTACAAGAGAAGGATGGCAAGATGTGCAGATGACTGAAAGTATGGTCCGCTGGGCACTGCCATTATGTTACTGGATTGATATCTCCTGATACAAAGAGCTAAGCCACCATAATCCAATCCATGTTTGTGTTGTGGAACAAACCCAACTAATGGCTAGGGCGAGAATTGGATGCTTACAAGAGAAGGATGGCAAGATGTGTAGATGACTGAAAGTATGGTCCACCGGGCACTGCCATTACATTACCGGATTGGGATCTCCCAATAAAAAAGCTAAGCCACCATAATCCAATTCATGTTTGTGCTGTGGAAGAAACCCAACAAATGGCTAGGGCAAGAATCTGATGTGCAAACAACTGCAAGTATGGTACATTGAACACCGCTATTATGTTATTGTACTGAAGCCCCCCAAAACAAAAAGCTGAGCCACCATAATCCAATCCAATCCATGTTAGTATTGTGAGACATGCCCGACGAACAGCTAGGGCAAGAATCCAAAGCTTACTCCAGAAGGACGGCAAGGCACACAGACAACCAACATTACTTTTTATGCATTTGTGTAGGTACTTTGTTTGGTGCAGTGCAGAGCCCTTTATATTGGGAGAGTTTGGCACTCTTTTGAAGATGCCGACAATCCAGCAACCACAGATGGAAGTAAGGCAACCAGGAGGTGGCACATGGCTCCGCCATTTTGTGTTATCGAATTTCGAACCCACTCTGGATTTGGCACACAAGGTATGCTGTGACCCACCATTGTGATAAAAGTGTATCTAATGTAAGTGTTTTTGGCACTGTACACATACTAGTCAGAAGCTTATACTTACTTATCTGCTACAATCTCTTAAAATTATATGAGCTTAAACTTATTTCTCTTTTGTGAAAAGTGAATTTTAAATACTTTGAATATTAGATCTCAAAATTGACCACCGCCAAAATTCAGTGCTGGGACGAGTGCCATCTAGGAGAGGCGCTGCCAACCCTTGAGCTCAATCGCCCGATTAATTTTTGTTTGAGAAAGCCTCATTTTGTTTAAAACCAAAAGAAATAAAGCTTATTTGTAAGTTATGTTTTTGGAGATCAATAAAGGATGGCCAGTGTTTGAATATAGTGACCAATTGCAGGCATAACAAAATGTCAGAGTACAAGAAATTGTGTTTTTAAAACCACTACCAACTGCTGATTTGGAGCAGCACGCAACTAAGTAAAGTGGCCAAAAGCAAAATCCTCCATTTTGTGTTATTGTAAAGCCGCTTGTTTTAGCGGGTGACAGGCTCCACCCATTGGCCAAACTTTTCCAGTATATAGGGCTCTGGTGCAACGTGGCCTAAGCTCCTTTTGCATCACAAGACTCCTCACAAAAACTGTTGCAAGAAAATCAGCATAGCAAGAGACAGAAAAGAGGGCAGCTTAAAGTAACGCGTGCATTGCTGCATTCCCAAAACTGCAATGTCAGCACAGGTCATCCAACAGGTACCCTATTTCCAATGGATTTGTTGCCTTCAATGGTGTTTCGGTTGCATTCACTTCATCAAAGTCCATCTGAACTCAAAGCCATGCCAAAGGCTGCAAGCTTGAGCTGGAAAACTGAATTGTATTACTAGTCATTTCCATTCATTGCAATTTTTATTCAACAACACACTAACCAAAGACTCCTAATATGGACAAGACAAAGTCAGAAAAGCAAATTTTCAATGAGATATGTTTGCAATGGATTGATGAAACATGCAAGTTCACTTCGTACAGACGTGCAAACTAGCAAAAGGAAAACAAGAGGAATTGAAGTCTTAGCTGAATGGCACAGGGTTGCCATTCAACTAGAACCTGAACGACAACATCTATTTAATGTCATGGCTACCTGGAATAACAACAATAATTAGGGGGAAAAAAAAAGAAAGATGCTTATTAACAGCTGCAATGAAAGCTGAGTGTTGCGTATAATTGCAAATGCCACTAAGAGATGAGTGTAACAGCTGTGGGAAAAAAATTAAATACACAGGAAAGAGAGTTCTGCCACCTGCTTTTCTATGTCCCTCCCCACCAAAGCTATGCAACAAAGGTTATGCTACATTCAAGCCAAGGCACATCAATTAATTACAGCTTAACCTAACAGCATATGTACTATGCGTGTACAAAATTTTTAAGCCATTTTCCCACCGTTATTACTATAAAGAAGGTCACCCAGATACGTTGCTGTAACTAGCACTTGACACCTGAAACTCCACTTGCACTCAAGGCTAAATACTAGAATAACTGTATGCCCCCTAATAAAAAAAAGATACACACCTACAGCTGTTTAATGGCCATGAAATAGATGCCTGTCTTTTTGCTGCCTCCAAATACAGGCTGCGTCTCCCACCTTTCTAATTGTCTTCGTTCATCCAAAAGGTTAAGAATCTTTTTTTTACTTTGAGTTTCTGCAATGCAACACTGAAATTTCACCTGTTAACTCTGGTTGCTACTTACCAGTGCTGGCTATGGCAGGCATGGAGTTGGTCTACGTGTCAAGCCCCAACCTGCCTGCAGAGAAAAAAAAAATTGTGATATTACCACAACATAGGTTTATTTCACTGGCCGTCAGCGAAATCAAATCGCAAATTCTTAAAAAAAATCCAGTCTTGGTTAAAGTTACACAAAAAATAAAATATTAAAAAATAAAAACCTCCGACGTGATACCGCAGCGTTCAGTAAAAACTATTTTTAGATGCCTTTGTTCCTAACACTGGCTATGACTATAAAGACAAGCCTAACTGCTGGCAATAAAGCAATAAAAATATAGCAAATAAAACCATTTCCAACTATGTTTTCGTCACAAAAATACTTGCCACCATAACAGCCGCTGACAAGTCCTAGCGAGTTTCCGGCATTTCTATCTTTACCTCGACGGAAGCAAAATAATAACACAGATGCTAGTAAATTAAAAAAAAAAAAATTTAATTCTAGGAATTGACAATTTGTTAGCCCACATTCCTAAAGCCCCTTGAAATTATGCTCTCAGAAACCACTTTATCCAGAGGCACCCCAAACGTTCCATAAGCCAAATTTCTGCGAAACATTTTTCATCATGATGTCAACGAAATGGTATATACTTCGTATCCCATTAAATCTCCTGCAGCCCGTGTTACACTCCCTACGAGGAAAAGACGGCACTTCAAGTAACCCCCATACGTAAAAACTAAAGTTAATGACAGGTTTATAAGCGAGGAGATGCTCTGCCTTGAGCGTGAGCTCTCTGCCTTCGATAAGATTTTGGCGCACGCGTAGCCAAAGCCCTACGGAAAGTCAACAATCATCTGAAGAAGGTGGCGCATCTACCTGGTTAATTCTTAACCTGTCACCGACTACAGCCATCTAGGGCTGAACAAAAAACAGTCATCCTGTCTGCTACATGAAAAGGAAACATTAGGACACAAGTAGGCCGTTAAACGTCGAACGCCGCGATACTCGTCACTCAGACACAGAGGTGAAAAAAGGTCAAATGAATGCAGGCCGCACAACTTGCTCGCTCATTGCTCGTTGTCAAGAGACTTGCATTGTCCTTGCCAGTAGTCGCCGAGAAACTTGTGTCCCAAACTGTCCTTGCCACCTTCATTCTTAGCACTTGACAATCGTAAGGATACCCTCCCTCCCCCTTCCCCCCACAAAAATGATCTTTTTTAAAAATTGATTTAAAACATTGATTTTTTTTTTTTTTAACTGCCTTAAAACATTGATTTTGTTTGGAAGCCAACACCTGCCGACGCCTACCGGACTGAATTACGACGCCCTTTCCAATTAAAACAAAGACGGGCAACAAAAACCCTACGCCGTGGGAAAAGCCACAGGACCGAAGCGTAGTGGTGGGCGCTATCTGATGGGGCGTCTGAGAGAGGATCCCCAGAGCACCAGCCCAAACGCAAGATAAACCCGGCTTGCAACATCACGATTGGCGGAAAGGCAACCCTGTAACAGGACCCTGGGCTCCGGTTGTGGGCCCCTCAGGCAACACCCCCCCCCTCTCCCCCCCCTCCCCAGAAAAAAGAAAGTAGATAGTAGCATGCCCCCCATCTCTCAAGGAAGAGGTCTTGCGACACCACTGACACTGTGCTACGCCTGCTCCAGAAGGCTCCTTTGGAACATTGTGTCACAACCCAGACAGACACTGAACGCCCCCCCCCCCCCCCCCCCTTAAAACGATGCCCTCACATGCTAGATTCAAAATACTGCACAATGGTAGACACAAAACACACTGGGAAAACTTTTAAGCCCTCAAATTCTGTAGCTTCCATGTCTGTTCAAATAATGTGTGGTTAGGCAGCCTGCTGTGCAGTAGTCTTGTCTCGTTAATGTGGACACCTCCGTTCCTCCCATAAATCATCTATAATATCAGATGTCAATAATCATGAGCCAAAAATGTATTTATTAGTTCAGTTTGTCCTCAAACATTTTTGCACGTGGCAGGGTGTCTATATTTATGAGACACCGTTGTATCTGCCGTTCTACCATGTCGTGGTCCTTCGAGACCGTACGGAAGTGATGTGCAACTTT